GACCTTCCTAATGCTACAACCTTTTTGTTTGTTTGTTTGGCTGGTTTGGTTCAGTTTTTCAAGACAGTTTCTCTGTATGACCCTAGCTGTCCTAAAACTAGACCAGGCTGTCCTGGAACTCACAAATATCCACCTTCCAGCGCCTCTCAAATGCTGGGATTAAAGGCACACACACCCAAACACACACACACACATCTGCTGTGACCTCTTAGTACAGTTCTTCATGTTGTGGTGACTCCCAACCACAAAATTATTCTCGTTGCTGTAAAAGTAACTTTTATTCTCCTGATTTATTGGTGTCTCCAAGGCTTACTGCCTCTCTCTGCTAACCTAGGCCAAGTCCTGGAAGTTTCTAGTCTCTGTACAATCTAATATAGGCTTACAGTGTTTTCAGCTTTTGAGACTTACTGCTGAATAAGCTCACCCTTTCTAGATCTTTCTGAACTGTTGCTGGCTGATTCAACTCAGCTGTTCTGGCGCAAACTCCTCTCCCAGCTGACTTATTCAGTCTGGCTTTTCTCTCAGCCTCTGAATTGCTCTGCTTGGCTTCAAACTAACTCCAGCAATCTGTTTTTTGTTGATTGGTTTTGGTTTCTCGAGATAGGGTTTCTGTGTAGCCCTGCTTTGCAGCCCAGGCTGGCCTCAAACTCCAAGATCTGCCTGCCTCTGCCTCCCTGAGTGCTGGGATTACAGGCATGCACCATTCTGCCTGGCTCCAGCAGTCTGTCCTAATCTTCTGTCTTCACGTGTGTCTAGCTTGTTCTCTCTTCAGCCTCTCTCTGTAAAACTGCCTTCTCTCTCTTTCTCTGTGCTGCTCCCTTAAGTAGCTTCCCTTTCCTCCCTGTTCTTGTGAGAGTTGGGTATATCCCATTCAGTCAAATATTTTTCTGATTTATTACTTTGTCTGCCTCTCAATTAGACACACTTTCAAACATGGGTACTTCCTTCTACAAACTAACTTTCCCTTCATTGTTTAGGATTAAAGGCCTGTACCACCATGCCTGTATCTAAGCTTTATCTTTATCTGATTATCTATATCAGGCTGGCCTTGAACAGAGATCTGCCTGCCTCTATCTCTTGGGATCAAAGATATATGCCACCATGTCTGCATTCCTGCCAGATCACACAGACCTAGAAGGAAAGTCTTTGGATGCAATCTCTTGCCAGTGCAGCTATGTGCTGAATTAAAATTCCTCTACACATTGTTACTTCATAACTGTAATTTTGCTACTGTTGTGAATCATAATGTAAATATCTGATATGCAGATCGTCTTAGGTGACCCATGTGAAAGGCTCATTCAACCCCCAAAATGGGTCACAATCCACAGATGGAGAACTGCGGCCTTAGATCATGTATACTACTAACATTTATACATACCTGTATGTATGCATGCATATGTTCACACAGAAATATGTCTGTACTAATTTTAATTTTATAAAAAAACATGCAATATGGGGCTGTAAGAGATAGAGTACTTACTTCTCTTCTAGAGGACCTGAGTTGAGTTCCCAGCAACCTGTGGCAGCTTACAACTACAACTCCAATTCCAGGAGATACAATACCCTCTGACCTCAGAGGGTTCCTGCACAGACATGGTACACATGAACTTATGCAAACACACACAATTTTTAAAAAAATGCACTTTAATGCAATGCTTGCCTAGCATGAACAAAGTACTGAATTTGATCCTCAGCACCATATAAACTGGGTTTTGTGTTGTGATGCATACCGAAGGATTCAAAGTTCAAGGTCATCCTCTCGGTTACATTAGAGCTTTGATGCCAGCTCTGAGATTCTGTCTCAAAAATAAGTAAGAGTCTAAACATGGCTCCTCCAGATTGAGAGGTTCTATGGAACTGCATACAGTGACAGAGTATTGCTTTTATAGCTCAAGTGAGCTAAGAAAACACTTTGCTCGGGGCTGGGGATTTAGCTCAGTGGTAGAGCGCTTGCCTAGCAAGTGCAAGACCCTGGGTTCTGTCCTCAGCTCTGGAAAAAAAAGAAGAAACACTTTGCTCAGTTTGGCCATACACAAAAGTGCACTGTACATTTTGGCAGAGAGACTGGCTTGCATAGAGTGTTAGGTTAGGTTCAGTTTTCTTCACAAGAACTTCAGAATGCACTACAACAGGAAAATTGAATTACAGTCCTGCACTAACAAACCAGGCTGGCTTTGCATACTCTTCTTTTTTAAAATATACTTATTTTTAAATTATGTATGCCTGTAGGTGTCTGGACTACCTTGGAATCTAGAGCTGTCAGAACTCTCGGAGCTGGATTTACAGGTTGTAAGGCACCTGACAATGTGGTGATCAAGCTCAGGTCCTTCTGAAGAGCAGTACTCACTACTGTCTCTCCAGACTTATTTTTTACTTTCTTAGCTTTTAGATTATGTATTATTCAGTAATTACATATACAAATACAGTACATTTAGATCATATTCACCCCTCACTCCACTTCTCCAGCACTTGTTTTTTGTGAGGTAAGGTCTCCTGTAACTGGGGCTAGCCTTAAACATTCTATATAGCTGAGAATGGCCTTGAACTCCTGCCTCTACTTCCCTGTGCTGGGACTACAGGTTGGGTTATCACACCCCCTTATTTAGTTATTTTTTTAAGATAACCTAGTCTTCAATATCCAGTACTACTGGGTGGTGGTGCACATCTTTAATCCCAGCACTTGGAAGGCAAAAGCAGGCGGACCTTTGAGTTTGAGGCCAGCCTGCTCTACAGAGTGAGCTCCAGGACAGCTAGGGCTACACAAAGAAACCCTGTCTCTGAAAAAAATTCAATTCACCTGCCTCAACCTTGGAATTACAGGCATTTCTAGAAAAAGGTTCATTTTAGAGCAGTACTCGTTTATTTTAGTTTCTCCAGCAACTCTGGAAACAAACATTTTTTTAAAAATTGTGTATTTATGTGTGTGAATGCTCACAGAGGTCAGAGAACTTCTAGGAGTCAGTTCTTTCCTTCCACTGAACTAGTAGTGTTGACAGTCCTCAAGTGCTTTTACAAGCTGAGCCATCTCAAAAGTCTCATTATCTTTCTTTCTTTATTCCTTTCTTTTTTTTTTTTGGGGGGGGGGGTTGAGACAGGGTTTCTCTGTGTGGCCCTGGCTAGGTGTCCTGGAACCAGGCTTGCCTCAAACTCAGAGATTTGCCTGCCTCGGTCTCCAAGCCTCATTTTAAAAAAAGAAAAAGAAAACAAAACAAATAATAACAAAACCAAATAATAAACAAGTTTGTTTTGTACACTTCAAAGAGAGAAGAAGGTATGGCAGTAACAGAATCACCTGCATACAAATCACCTTTTTAAAGACTTATGTGTATGAGTGCCTGCCTGCATGTTTGTATGCGCACCACACGCATCCAGTACGGGCAGAGGCCAGAGGAACGTATCAAACTTCCCAGAACTGTAGTTACCGGTGGTTGCAAGCTGCCAAGTGATGGGGAATCGAACCGGAGTCCTCTGCAAGAGTATTAAGTGCTCTTAACCACTGGGCGATCTCTTCAACCTCTACATCACCTCTAAGTCAATACTAATTTTGCTGTCTCTGACATCATTCCTATCCCCGCTCACCACCCATTTTTCCCAGGAGGTAACCACACAAGATTGTACTTACCGTTCTACATGCCAAAAGCGGCGACTCAGGAAGTGACGTCTCACGTGGTAGCGTGTCGCTCCCATAAACGTCACATCCGGTGGGGCTCTGACAAAGCCCGCCAGAGGTGAGGCCCTTTGTGAGAGGGCGGAGCCCTAACACGCGGGTGGAGCCTCAGTGGGGCGGAGCCTGTGGGGGCGGGACTAGGCCCTGGCGGGCCTCACTCGCCGGCATTTGCCGGCCTGGCCGCCGCTTGTGCGGAGCTCTGTGGCCGTGGCTGCGGAAGCAGGTGAGAGCCTTCGACCGGGAAGGGGTGGACGGGAGGTGAATTCTGGCTCCGTCCGCAGTCCGTTGTCACCCGCCCAGACCAGGCCCAGCGAGAGGCCTTGTGGGCGCTGGAGTGACGTGGAGGCTATCCTGAACCTAAGACTGCCCACGGGGTTGTGAGCCCTTCCTAACTTCTCCAACCACTTGACAATCCTCACATTCCCAAGTTCAGAGGACGCCTGGTCATCACTTCTAGTTATCCTTAAGTTTCAACACTTTGCTGCTGTGGAAAAGCTGCTGAGGGGGATTGCTTCCTCAGCCACAAGTACATTTACCCTAATTCCTTCCAGCCCCTCTATCAGCAGAGGTGTAGGATAGAGGCCAAATTACTCTTGGAGTGAGTTAGGTCCACCAGCCTTGCTAAAAGGATGGGGTATGGGTGGATGGCCCTTAGCCTCTCCCTTAACTGACTCAGACCACTCTGATGCCTACATCTTTTCCTCTCTACTTGACTAGTTACCCTACTCTGGTTTTCCTGCCTTCCTCTTCATCGGTGAGACACAAGGCTGGACCAGGGCTCCCAGGGTAAGTGACCCAAACTCAAAATCAGTAAAAGCCATATAGGTGGAGGCCTGGGACCAATGTCTGATCAGGAACCAGAGGGTAAAGTCTCTGAAGCACTAGCAGGCTTAAGGTACCTGGGAAGCCATAACATAAAACCTGCTGTGTCCACTGTCATCTCATTTGCCCTAGTTCTAGCAGATGATGATAAGAAAGTGCTAACTATCCAGTTGAGAAATAGTTGGAGGCTGACCCCTCCTTTCGACCCAAGTCACTCCACCCTTAGAAATACTCAGGCTTAGCTGGGCAAGGCAGCACATGCCTGTAATCATGCAGGTGGATTTTGTGAGTTCGAGGACAACCTGGTCTACAAAGTGAGTCCAGAACAGCCAAGGCCACACAGAGAAACACTGTCTAGAAACAAACAACAACAACAAAACTCATGTTCCACTGTAAGTGTAAAACGGATATGTGGCACACACCTTTATCCCAACTTGGCAGACAGAGGCAGGTGGATCTCTGAGTTCCAGCCTGGTCTACATGATTAATCTAGGTCAGCTAAGGCTATACAGTAAGGTCCTAGCTCAACAACAACAAAAAGCCTTTAGTAGGGCTGAATGTGGTAACCTATACCTTTAACTCCAGCACTTAAGAGATAGAGGCAGGCAGATCTCAGTGAGTTTAAGTCCAGCCTAGTTTACTTGTGAGTGGCAGGTCAACCAATACAGAGACCCTGTCTCAAACAAAAGACTCTGCTAGGGTATATGCCAGAAAATTCTAAGGAGAAACTATCTGATATAGCAGCAGTTATGAGAGCTCAAATTCTGAGAATGGGAAGGTCTGACAAAAGAGAAGGTTGCCAGCCAGGCTCTGTGGGCATGACTGTAATTTCAACATTCAGTGAGGCAGAGGCTGGCAGATTTCTGTAAGTTTGAAGCCAGCCTGGTCTACAGAGTGAGTTCCAGGATAGCCAAGGCTACACAGAGAAACCCTGTCTCAGAAAAACAAGAGGAAGAGAGGGAGAGAAGGTTACCCAGTGGATATCTAACCCAGACCTACTGTAACTTCCCTGAAAGTAAGGACATGCATCCCACGAATACTACCATTTCATTATTACAGGGCATGTGGGACAAGACATGTAGCCACAGCAATGATTCACCCAACTCTTATGTCAGTAGCCGTATCACCCTCTGCAGCCTTTGGTTCAGTAAGTCACCTGAACCACAAAGTCCATATCACCTTGTCACCACTTTGTAGGTGGCAAATGGTACTCAGACTCCCCTATTCTATTATTTAAAGACCTGGATCCAGCCCAAGTCACTGTTCCCCTCAGTACCCTTTGTTCTCATCTGACTAGTCTCCTTGTCCCTCCCCGCCCAGGAAACCATTTATTTGATTTTCTTTGTTTGGAAATGGATTATCAAACTCTCCCGGGTTGCCCTGGAATTAGCTATGTAACTGGACGATGATATTAGACTCATGATTCTCTTGATTCCACTTCCCAAGTCCTGGGATGACAGGAGTGAGCTACCATACCTACCCCTCCAGGAAGCACTTTATTTCATTCCCGTGGTGGTATCACTGCATCTTGAGATCAGTGTGGAATGGGCTAGTGGTGACAGGGTTAGATATTGCTCTCCTAAAACCCTCAATATTAGAATATCTCTATGAGGTCACCATAGTAGGCAAGCAAGTTCATGGAATTTGGCAGCTCTCTTGAGGCAGCTGTGCTTTAAGAAGAGGTGGCTAAATGGCATGCAAGGGCCAGTACTACCCCCAAACTAGAGGCAAAAGGCTCTCCGATAGCACCATGGTCCTGAGCTTACAGTTTCTTCTCTTCATTAGCCATTTTATTTGCCCCTTCTCTTTTCAGGAAAATTTCTACTATCAAGGAAGACAACATAGGACTAGGACCTTCCCATGGACCCTTCTGAGGACATTCCAACAGCACAAGCAAGAGTGTTCTCCTAAGACACAAAGAGCCTATAAACACAATCCTTTGAGAAGTACCATGGTAGTCAGGAGAGGCAGACGTGGCTCCCAGCAATTGCCTGGCCTGGGAGGGCAGGGTGGTTGTACCAGTTTCCGAGGCATGCTTATAGCTGCCCTGCTGTTCATCAGCCTACCATGGGGGGCTCAAGTGATGGCTAGTGCAAACATCAGCACTGCTCTGGGCCACACTGGGCCACTGACAAATGGTCACTATTTGAGCATTGGGGACAGCTCAGTGACAGAATTTGAGTTCCCTGAGAAGAGTGAGGGTATCATTGTGATTTCTAGCCACTATGGACAGGCTAATGGGACACGCTCAAGCCCCACACTGAGGGTTATATCCCTGGACACAGAGGTGCTGACCATCAAGAATGTGAGTGCCATAACCTGGGGCAGCGGGGGTGGCTTTGTGGTGAGCATCCACTCAGGTCTGGCTGGGCTAGCCCCACTCCACCTCCAGCTCTTGGACCTCCATGAGGCCCCACCCCTGCTGATTGAAGAACGGAGAGATTTCTGCATCAGAGTATCACCTACTGAAGATATCTCTTCTACTCTCAATGCCAACTTGGGCCACTTCTCAGAGAACCCAATACTCTACCTTCTTCTGCCTCTTATCTTTGTCAACAAGTGTTCATTTGGGTGCAAAGTGGAACTTGAAGTTTTGAAGGAGCTCCTACAGAGCCCCCAACCCATGCTGTTGGGCCTCTTGGGCCAGTTTCTGGTCATGCCTTTCTATGCTTTCCTGATGGCCAAAGTTTTCATGCTACCCAAGGCCTTAGCTCTGGGCCTCATCATTACGTGCTCATCACCTGGCGGTGGTGGGAGCTACCTCTTCAGTCTCCTCCTTGGAGGAGATGTCACCCTGGCCATCTCCATGACTTTCATCTCAACAGTAGCTGCTACTGGTTTGCTGCCACTATCATCAGCCGTCTACAGCCGCCTTCTCAGCATCCATGAAACACTCCATGTGCCCATCTCCAAGATACTGGGAACCCTGCTGTTTATTGCCATCCCCCTAGCAGCAGGTGTGGTGATCAAGTCTAAGCTCCCCAAGTTCTCTGAGCTACTGCTACAGATCATCAAGCCCTTCAGCTTTGTACTTCTCCTGGGTGGCCTGTTCCTGGCTTACCACATGGGGGTCTTCATCCTAGTGGGAGTCAGGTTACCCATTATACTGGTAGGCTTCACAGTACCCCTGGTTGGCCTCTTAGTGGGCTACAGCCTGGCTATGTGCCTGAAGCTGCCAGTAGCCCAGCGGCGGACAGTCAGCATTGAGGTAGGAGTGCAAAACAGCCTGCTAGCCTTAGCCATGCTGCAGCTGTCTCTGCGCCGCCTTCAAGCAGACTATGCCTCTCAAGCCCCTTTCATTGTGGCACTGAGTGGTACCTCTGAGATGCTGGCTTTGGTTATTGGCCAGTTCATTTACAGGAGCTTGTTTCCTGTTCCCTGAGCCCCCAGGATCAAGTTTTATAAGCCCCAACCCCCATATTCCACTCTCCCCACAGTTCTTGTGTACCAAAGGCCTTTAGTTCTCATGCACTATGCACTCAGACAAATCCAGGCTTTTTTTTACTGTTTTTTTTCCAGCTTTCAGTGCCAAAGAGGCCATGCTGAGTTAGACAGCTGGGTACTACCCAGAACTATATTTCAATAAAAGACAAAAGCAAGCTTAAGTCCCTTCTAGTCTTTGTCCCTTGGAGCCTGTGGATGGGGGGTGGGGGGGTAGAGGTGTGTCTACACAGGTATTGGCCAGGATGGTGAACACGTTTGGTGAACCTGCACAGAGTCCATTCTCCTCACTCCCTCTGTTTTGCACATTGTAGACAAGTGTTGCACCTTTGAGCTGTATCCCCAGATCTGCAAAGGCTTTTTTCTATTAACAGGGCAGGCCTCTGTTCTATAATGAATGAAGAGAGCAGAGGCCTGGGTCTACTATTTCCAAGCCTCAGTCGGGATATTTTTGCAGCCATACTAGAAAGCAAGAAGTAGAAAGTCATCGTTGGTTTATGGCAGGCAGTATTGGACCATTTCTCTATGTGAGAGACACTATCGTGTGTTTGCACTGACTTGGTCCACCAGCAGGGTGGGAGTTAGCGCAGGCCCGGCTTTGCGTGAAGCTGACATCCTGGTCCTTTTTGAGCCACAGCTCCCAGGCAAAGCAAGCCTGGTCCTACATGTTTCTCGCTTCAATCGCAGTGGGCGGGACATCCCTACGTCCCTGCACCACAGCAGCGGAAGGCTCCCAGTGCCAAAACCGCGGATTCTTCCCCGGGTCCGGGCAGGCACAAGGCCCGGAAGAGGGACTGAAGAACGCGCAGGAGGAAACCACAAGGCGGGCGCGCCCCTTTCACCGCTTCCGGCGGCAGCGGGTGGTTCCGGCGCTCGCCTTGGGGGGCAGCGCGCGGCAGGCGACCGTTGGGGTTTGTATTGGCCGTAGGGGACGCGGCCTTGGAAACCATGAAGCTGACCGTAAAGGCGCTCCAGGGCCGGGAGTGCAGCCTACAGGTAAGGTTACCCTGCAGGCTGCTGCACTCACCTACTCCTGCCGCTGGGGGCCAAGGGCAAGCGGGGGAGGCTGGGAGAGCTGGCCTCAGGAAGGGGCGTGAGGGCTTCACTGCGGAGGGAATTCGGGCTGAGCCCTTGCCTCTGCACTTCGGCCGGATCAGGTGTCGGAGGACGAGCTAGTGTCTACACTGAAGCACCTGGTCTCGGATAAGCTGAACGTCCCCGTGCGCCAGCAACGTCTGCTGTTCAAGGGCAAGGCCCTAGCAGGTAACTAGGGAAAGGAGCCGGCTAGGGAGCCCCACAGGAAGTTGGGGGACGGGATGTACAGACCAGTGTAATGGATCAGGGCTCTGGATGCCACTGGATCTGGAAAAAGTAGCCGAGCCCCCACCACCCCATAGCCAGATGCTGCAGTGCTTCACTCTGGCTCTCTGTGGCAGGATTGCTCCCCAGCCACCCCCACAGCAGTGAGGAAGGAACTCCACCAATCTCTCTTTGGCAGATGAGAAACGACTGTCAGATTACAACATTGGGCCTAATTCTAAGCTCAACCTAGTTGTTAAGCCTTTGGAGAAGGTGCTACTGGAAGAAGGCTCTGCCCACAAACTGGTGGACTCCCCACCTCCACCCATCTGGCAGCTGATCTCCAAAGTCCTGGCCCGTCACTTCAGTGTAGCAGATGCCAGCAGGGTCCTGGAACAACTACAGAGGGTGAGAACAGTAATGCTGGACCTCCAATCCAACACTTCTAGCCCCAGCCCACACCTATTACAGCATACCCCTTCCCACTGGTACCTCCTGAACCCTACTGGTCTTCTCTCCTCAGGATTATGACAGGTCCCTGAGCCGCCTAACACTGGATGACATCGAACGTTTGGCCAGCCGCTTTCTACACCCTGAAGTGACTGAGGCTATGGAAAAAGGGTTCTCCAAATAGCATTTTGGGATTGTGGGAAGAAATCCCAGGTCTGGCCACAGCTGCATGTTGCATTAAATGTGTTCTCATTTCGCAGTTTGGCTTGTAGTGATAATAATAGCTGGTATGTACCCAGCTCTTGCTAGGTGCTTGGCACTACTCACAGTACAAGGCCTGAGTTCTCCTCTGTCTCCCGTAGGAGAGTTGAGGCTGCACTGTAGATACACCTAGCAATGGCTTGGGACAGCCAGGGTCCAAGTCTAGCCAGCCTGTAGAAGTGCCTCTGTAGGAGAAAGAGTGTGATGTTTTGAGAGATGGGCCTTAGCATTCCGATTTAGCCCACTCATCAGACTCTCTCAAATGACTCCCTCAGGAAGCCACTAGTCTTTGTCACCTGCCCTCTAGTGTGTCTGGCATAGCCGTTGGCAAATCTCCATAGGAGGCCAAGTGGTAGCTATCCACGGCCCTTCTGCTGCTGCAGCAACTAGTATGCTCTTTGTTTTGGTTTTGTTTTCGAGACAGGGTTTGTCTGTGTAGCCTTGGCTGTAGGCCAGGCTGGCTTCCAACTCACAGAGATCCACCTGCCTCTGCTTCCTGAATGCTGGGACTATGGGCATGTGCCACCATTACCCAGCTGCCAGTGTGCTCTTGATGAATGATAAGCAGGTTAGGAGCTGGAGGATCAGCAAGATACCCCAGCTCTGTTGTATGACTTGAGTCAAGTTTCTGTGCCACTTTGGTCCCCAACCATTGAGTCTGTTCTGTGATAGCTATTCCTCTGACCTGAATAAGTTTCCTTCCCCGTTTCTCAGCTCAAGGTGGGAGTCTGCTATCACCTGCAGTTCCTCCTTGTGTTCAGTAAGCAAACTGAAGCCAAAAGTGAAGTGATAGCCAAGCATAGGCCACAGATGGAGGATCCTGGGCCTTCGTGACCTAGCTCTTCTCAGGGGCACCCTAGCTGCTTGGCTCCTCCTGGAAGTGGGTCTCACTCACGAGGGACAACAGGCGACTCAGCAAGGCACTGTCACAAGTAGGCCTCTGCCTTGGTCTCTTCACACAGCGCTCACCTACAGCATGAGACGGATGCTTCCTCTGCCACCTATGTATGGGGGCTTGTACTTTGCACACCTTCGTTGCTTAAGGAGAAACTCAGGGCACTGAAGAGGAGATAGAAATGTAAGCTGAAGGCAGTAATTTCTCTTTTCACTCTACCTATGCCTGGGTGCTAAAGGTCATGTAAGTACTAGCTCCTTTGAGGAGGAATCTAGGGTGGAAGACAGCCATCTGCAAGACACTACTCCTGTCCCTCCACTTTTGCCAAGAAAGCCACTCTACTCTGAATGTAGTTGGGGCTACACTTCCCTTTCGTCCCCAAGGGCCTCCTACATGGGCCTTGTGGAACAAGTCTTGAGTCCCTGGAGTGGAATGATAAAAGTGAGGCCTCAGGGAATGAGCAGATGATAGACCCTGGTCCTCCCTGAGACCTGGGGTACCACATCAGGGACCTGCTTCTGAGTGTGTATGGACTGGCAGCTTAGATAAAAAGTGTACCAATGTTTTTGTTCACTCTGAGTGAGGGAGTGTATTTGGAAAATTAAATAACGCTAAAGGTGCATGTGAGACTTTTCACCAAAAGGAACTCTATTAATAAGCTAAACTGCTTTTGGTTTCCGATAATTTGTTTAACAACACAGTAAACTTACTGGCTTATAAAACTAAAAAAAAAAAAAAAAAAAAAAAGCCCAGGAATACTGGCAGTGGATGAACTAATTCACCAAACATCCAGCTTTTTTCCTGCTTCCCTCTGAATTCTCCAGTATCTGCTTCATCCTCACCACCACTTCCAAGGAGCGAAGGGTGGCTTGTCTGCAGCTTCATCAAAACTCTTCATTCGCTGCCAGCAAGGAGCACTTTTCTCTCTGTAGCATAGCTTCTGTCTCAGATGCTCCAGCAAATAAATGCTGTCTCTTATTGGTCAGAACTGCATCCTGTGTAGTATTTGAGTTGGGCATATGGGAAAAGGAATTGTTAATTATCCATTAGCACCTATTCAGCCAGTCTTGGGGTCTGCTTTCCTGGACACGTGAGCTATATCAGGGAGAGAAAGTAAATGGATGTCCTGGTGGATGCAGATGGCAACTGTCCACTACAAAAAACATCTTCACCAGAAAAGTCATTATTTCCTTGGAGATAGTAGAGAATGAAGGGATGAGGATTCAGTTAAGGAACGTTTTCTAAGACTTGCATTCAAAGAAATTTAAAGTTTCTACAGGTAAAAGTAAACCATAGGCACATTCATGAATTTCAAGCCAATGCTTATCAATTTAAAGTGAAGTCTGTAAGATGCTCATGTTGTCCAAAAAAGAGATGATGTTTGGATGAGTTTATGTAATGGGACAATTGTCAGGTTTTGCTGTGTAACTATCTGTAGAGTGAGAAACTAAATGAAGGGTGCCTCAGGAATTGGGCTGTGCCTGAGACAGAAAACTCAACAACTGTAGGAAGGAGTTCTGAAAGGAGTCCAATGTTTTCTGGTTGCCTTGGGAGGCTAGAGTTGCTGTATGTGGAAGTTCAGGGATGGGGGATATGAGACTGGATGTAGAGATGAGTGAGGAGCCCTCAAAATATGCACTGGGGTCTCTGCAATAGAAAAGCTGATCCAGATAACAAAAGGGCTCCTTTTGATAGCTACTGGATTCTTATGGACCTTTTCTATGCAGAACACTTCTCTCATTTCATCTTCATCTCACTGCCAAATGTGGAAAGTGTATGATCTACCACTTAAGCCCTAGCCTAGCTTTATTCCTGAGCTTGTGTAACCATACTGCTCTGCCCAGGAATTCTCAGTAAACAGGGAGTCCTAGATACTGGAAGAATGGTTGAGGTGGCTTCTCAGAGAAAGGGACTTTAAAAGAAGTGTGAGGTCACAACCTCAAGAGGACAGCTTCCCCAACCACAGAGGAGTTTAAAGAGTAGCCAGAGGCAAGGGCATGGGCTCCTGTAGCACCAGTGCAAGTCAAGGACAGGTGTCTAGAAGGGAGAGGCCGGCAGGACTTCCACTACAGGGACAAGATGGAGCCTCTGTGTGGAGTTCTTAATATATGCAGGTTATTGCTACTGTATCGTTTTGGTTCTGCCTGGGGCCTGTCTCCCAGCAGGCCACCAAAGGCAGGTGGAGCACAAGGCAAGGAGCATGCCAGGAATAGCCGTTAAGCGCTGTACAGGGATCACACACTCTAAGAACCACTTCAGGGAGCTAGTTCAACTTTAATTCCAGAGAACAAAGGCTATATAGCCCTTGGGGAGTGGGAAGGGGCCTCCATGAATAGGAGTACATAATTGGTTGGAACTAGGCACTTCAAGGATGCTTGGTTTGCATTGTACAGCACGCTCCTATCATATGAATAGAAACATAGGCTGGGGAGGGGAAAGCAAGCAGGGAGCTGCGTCAAATGCCATCTATCAAATATGATTAGGGACATCTATGTATAAAGACACTCTATATCCAAGTAAAGTCAGGGAGAGAACAAGAGGCCCTGCTGGGTAAAGGGAGTCCTGCACCTTACTGCTGAGCTCAGAATGGCTATCTGAACTGGGAAAACTGCAACCTCAAACAGCAGGTTTCCTCCAATATATGGTAGGCCAAGGAGTCCTCAGGAAACTCATTCCACAAGATAATGTATATAACAGAATGGAAACAAAAAGGTGGCGTAAACCTTCAGGAGCTCTGTCAGGGTAAGGATGGTAGACAAGAGGAAGACAAGTGACAAATACTGCAGGGATAAGAAATAGGAAGAGGTCCAGAAGAGGAGGCTGGGAACTAGATAAAAATAAGTGACCACAAATGCAGATGGTGCATTTGCCTTGAATTTGGTATGGCTTCCCATACACCAGCAGACACTAAAGTCTAAGGGCCCTCATCATGGACTGGAACATTTGCCATAGGTACTGTTCCCTGATGAGCCACATATACACCCCAAGAAGTGGCACTAATCCACTCACTCACTTCTCCCTGCCCAATACAAGTTCCTGAGAGCCACTGTCTGACTCTCAGATCAGGGCCTTCATATGTGATGTGATCACAATCATACTAGGAGCTAGCATGAATGAAGGGCCCAGCTCAAGTTGCCTCCTAAAGACAAGTATTTTGGGAGCTGGGGTAAGATGTTTGGTGGGCCAACAGGAGGGCCAGACTCACGAGCTAAGCATTTATGATGAGAATATTGAATTGGATATTCACAGCACATTAATTAATGAGAGAAGTTTTGGTATTAAGTTCTTGATTATTTATTTTTTTCTCTGTATAGCCTTAGCTGTCCTGGAACTCAATCTGTAAGACAATCTGGCATTGAACTCAATGATCCAACTCTGCCTCTTGACTGCTAGGATTAAAGGTGTGCACCCACCACCTCTAGAATTGTGATTTTTTTTTTTTATGTCTATGTGGACATGGCAAAGTGACACAGGAAGAGCACCCCCAAACAACCACATTTAGAACAATTTGAGCATTCTTTACCCAGCTGAACATTTTAGAAAAGAGACGTGAAAGTTTAGGACATTCCCTCATGTCTCCTCCCTGTTACAATATCATTTATTCTAGCACCACAATATATTCAAGGCTTGCCTTGTATATTTTCTTGCCCTTGACTAAGCATCAGCCTTTTACTGGAGAATGGCATTTGTTTGTTTGTCTGTTGGTTGAATGATATTTAGAAACTAAAATCTATATGAAAGATGTGCTCACTGTGAGTGAAGTATCACTGCTTCTAGATTCCTTTAATAGGCAATCATTAGAAATATATATACCCATATATATTAAGAAATCACAAGTTCATGCTGAAACCTTCAGCCATAATCTGTGTCACAGTTCTTTCACACCCTCCCTTATACCACAGTGAGAATTCTAGTTTCTGACATTGATATATTTACTCATTTGCTCTACCAAATAAAGTCTATCTTAACATAGACCCAAAATAGCTTCACACTCACCTCATCCAGACCATTATCCACATTAAATATGCTAAGAAGAAAGCCAATTATTTTGTCCTTAGAATATATCCCACAAGAGAGTATGGTAACAGGGTTGTACTTAAAGG